TTTTAGCAGCCCTCGCCCAGCTTCCGAATCTTGGCGGCGAGCCCATGGGGGAAGTCAGAATCAGAGCGGGCGGGGCTTCTCAGCAGGCCTCGGAAGGCCTCCGGCCTTCGGAGATGCTCTGGAAGCCTTGTCCGAAGACGCAGTCCCAGAAGGCGCGAGGGCTTGCGAGAAGCCCCGCCGCCTTCTGAGAAGGCCTGCCCCCTGGTTCTTTTCCCCTGGGTTCGCCGCCGAACCTCTCTGCGGCATGTCTCGAGCCGGACCGACCTGTGATGATCCCCGTTCCAGAAGCACGGCGAGAGCGCCCAATGTGACAAAGATACAGTCGAGGTTGATTAGTAGGTCGACCCTGCCAGATCAAGCGTGCCCTCGTGTCCTGTGTTTCGGGACCCGTGCCCTCCACTTTCCTATGGCAACATGGCCCTTGGAAGGGTCTTGTGTCCTCTCGCGTTTCCTCTCCATCCCACCCCAGGAGGAGGAGGAGGGGGAGGAGGAGGAGGAAGAGGAGGAGGAGGAGGAGGAGGACGAGGAAGAGGAGGATGGGGAGGAAAAGGACGAGGGTGAGGAGGAGGAGGGAGGAGGAGGAGGAGGAGGAGGAGGAGGAGGAGGAGGAGGAGGAGGAGGAGGAGGAGGAGGAGGAGGAGGAGGAGGAGGAGGAGGAGGAGGTGACCGTGTGCAACGCCTGGATCTCAGGGGTTAACCCCGCGACGCCGAGGAGGTGGGGGGCCCGCGGCTGGTACCAGCAGCGGCAGAGAGAGAGAGAGAGAGAGAGTGATGGCCCGCTCCCGCGGCGCCCTGGCGGGCGTGCTTCTGGCGGCGGCCGCGGTGCTCGGCGGCTGCAATGGGGGGTACAGTGGAGACCCCCCTCCTCCTCGTCGTCGTCCTCCTCCTCCTCTTCCTCTTCCTCCACCTCCTCTTGCTCCTTCTTCTTCTTCTTCTCCTCCTCCTCCTCCTTCTCCTCCTCCTCCTTCTCCCCTTCCTCCTCCCTTCCTCCTCCTGCTCCTCCTCCTCCTCCTTCTCCTCCACCAGGCCGTGGTATCTCGGCCCCCCTTGCCCCGCCCCCCCTTGGGTGGGCAGAGGCCCCGCGGAAGCCCTAGAGGAGCAGCATACAGTGGAAACCCATGCCAGGAAATACCCTGCTTGCTTCCAGGGTGCCCTGGGTTTCTTTTTGCTCGTCCTCCTCTCGTCCTCCTCTCGTCCTCCTCCTCCTCCTCCTCCTCCTCCTCCGCCTCTTCCTCCTCTTCTTTTCCTTATAAGTAATTTCTCCCTGTCGCACCTCGAGGCCAGTTTTAGGGCGGTCCGGGCGTTTCGCCTGAGACATCCTTACCATATGACCGTAAAGTTTAAGCGTTGACCACTGTTTCCGAGATGGAGGGCGGGTGTTTTTTCAGCATGTGGCTATCGCCTTAGCGCCGCGCGCAGTCGTTTTAAACATTGCAAGGGTTTCACGGGTTGAGGGCGGGTGGTTTTCAACATGTGGCTCTCGCCTCAGCGCCGCGCACATTCGTTTGTAACAGTTGTAAGGGTCGGAGGTTGGGGGGTGAGATCGCAGCGTAACGGAGTCCCCCCACCGGGAAATCGAGTTTCGAGTTCGTGCTCGTGCCGTGCGTGCGGGCGAGGCGAAGCTGCGTGGGCGGGCGAGAGGAATTCACTCTGCTGTCGCTAGGGGTCCCCCAACACAAATGTTTCCCCCCCCCGGCCTTGTCAAGCGGGGGCCCGCATTGTCCCGTCGGTGGCTCGCCGTTGTCCCGTCGGTGTCCCGTCGGTGTCCCGTCGGTGTCCTGTCGTGAGATCGATTGTGAGATCGACTGTGAGACCGATCGTGAGATCGATAGTGAGATCGATAGTGAGATCGATAGTGAGATCGATAGTGAGACCGAATGTGAGATCGATTGTGAGATCGATTGTGATATCGATTGAGATCGATAGTGAGACCGGATGTGAGATCGATAGTGAGATCGATAGTGAGATACCTATATGACCACCCTTCGGGTGATAAGGAGGTGAGGGGGGAGGAGGAACCAACGTGTCACTCAATACATCTCGCGATCGATCCCACTATCGATCTCACCATCGATGTCACTCGATCGATCTCACTATCGATCTCACTATCGATGTCACAATCGGTCTCGCACCGATCTCATTATCGATCTGATTCAGTCGATCTCACTATCGATATCACTATCGATCTCACATTCCGTTTCACTATCGATCTCACAATCGATCGCACATTCGGTCTCACATTCGGTCTCACTATCGATCTCACTATCGATCTCACCATCGATCCCACATTCGGTCTCATAATCGATCTCACTATCGACCGCACTATCGATCTCACTATCGATCTCACTATCGATCTCACAATCGATCTTACCATCGACCCCACAATCGATCTCACTATCGATCTCACTATCGATCTCACATTCGGTCTCACTATGGAACTGACGATCGATATCACAATCAATGTCACAATCGATCTCACAATCGGTCTCACTATCGATCTTTCAATCGATCTCATAATCGGTCTCACTATCGATATCACAATCGATCAAACTATCGATCTCACAATCGATCTCACAATCGGTCTCACTATCGATCCCACTATCGATCTCACATTCGATCTCACAATTGATCTTACTTTCGGTGTCACTATCAATTTCACGATCGATCTCACTATCGACCTCACTATGGATGTCACTATCGATCCAACATTCGGTCTCACATTCGGTCTCACAATGGATCTCACTATCGATCTCACCATCGATCTCACTATCGATCCCACTATTAGATTATGGATCTCACAATATATCTCACTATCGATCGCAGCGTAACGGAGTCCCCCCACCGGGAAATCAAGTTTCGAGTTCGTGCTCGTGCCGTGCGTGCGGGCGAGGCGAAGCTGCGTGGGCGGGCGAGAGGAATTCACTCTGCTGTCGCTAGGGGTCCGCCAAACCAAATGTTTCCCCCCCCCCCGGCCTTGTCAAGCGGGGGCCCACGTTGTTCCGTCGGTTGCCCGCCGCTTGCTCATCATGGTTGCTCATCATGGTTGCTCATCATGGTTGCTCAGCATTGTCCCGCGGGTTGCTCATCATGGTTGCTCATCATTGTCCCGCCGGTTGCTCATCATGGTTGCTCACCATGGTTGCTCATCATGGTTGCTCATCATGGTTGCTCAGCATTGTCCCGCGGGTTGCTCATCATGGTTGCTCATCATTGCCCCGCCGGTTGCTCATCATGGTTGCTCATCATGATTGCTCATCATGGTTGCTCATCATTGTCCCGCCGGTTGCTCATCATGGTTGCTCATCATTGTCCCGCCGGTTGCCCATCATGGTTGCCCATCATGGTTGCTCATCATGGTTGCTCATCATTGTCCCGCCGGTTGCTCATCATGATTGCTCATCATGGTTGCTCATCATGGGGCACCGTCGTGGTTGCTCATCATGGGACACCTCCTCTTGCTTCTCCTCCTCGTACCCTTCCTTTTTTATATAAATTCTAACCTAATTACTTAGATCTTTTGTTCGGCTCAAGGGCTCAGGCCATGCGACGCAAGTCGGTCAGCTCGGTCAGTCAGTTGTCGTCATGAGCCACCCCCCTCCCCCCACCCCCCCACAACCTCCTCATCACCCGCAGGGTGGTCGTATAGGTAGGGCTAGTCGTTTTCAACATGTGTTTCTCGCCGTAGCGCCGCGCACATTCGTTTTAACCATTTGCAAGAATTTCCCGGATTGAGGGCGGGTCGTGTTCAAAATGTGGCGCTTGCCTTAGCGCCGCGCACATTCGTCTATAACAGTTGTAAGAGTTTTAGGATTGAGGGCGGGTGGTTTTCAACATGTGGCTCTTGCCTTAGCGCCGCGCACATTCGTTTTAAACATTTGCAAGACTTTCACGGATTGAGGGCGGGTGGTTTTCAACATGTGGCTCTCGCCTTAGCGCCGCGCACATTCGTTTTTAACATTCGGGGGAGTTTCACGGATTCCAGTGATCAGGAATTATGTTTTGGAAGGGTTCAGGATTATGCTGGTATGCTCGTTATATTGATTCGCTGTGTTGAAGTCCCAAAAATGGCGTTCTGGCACGGCCCCAGATCGTCAAGACGCAGCAGCCAGGTTGATCCGTCGCGTTGGAATCCCGAAGACAATGTTTTGGCATGCCTGAGGGTCTTCAAGGGTGTCTTCCAACAAGGAAGTTCTCTCAATGGAAGTGAACCGTTGTAGGGGCCTATGAAGAGGGAGCTTGGAGGGAGGGTTAATTCCAACATCGTTGATGACTCTTTGGTTTACACTGGTCGTCCTCCTCCTCCTTCTCTCGTCGTCGTCCTCCTCCTCCTTTTCCTCCTCCTCCTCCTCCTCCTCCTGCTCCACCTCCTCCTCCCCCCCGCAACCCGTACAGTGGAAACCCATGCGAAAAAGCTCCTTGCTTGCCTCCAGGGTGCCCTGGGTTGCTTGGGTCTCGATGCTTTTGCCATGGGGAGCGCGGCGTTCCCGCACCCAAAACATCGAGGGACGTCCTGAGGTCTCAGGGCTTGGCCTCTTGTTGAAGGTTTCTTGTGGACGGGCCTCCGCTGTTTGGCTACGCCCGGGTGTGGCTTGCGATCGGCACCGCTGGGGTCTTAAGGGAGCACGCCGCCGTCCTCGTCGGGCCTCATCGGGGCACCGGGGAGAGCTCCGTCGATCTAGGCCTCACAGATGGGTTCGGAGTAGACGGGGTCGGAGGATCGCGCCGCATCGCCGACGCATCGGCGATGCATCAGCGATGCGGCTTGATGTGGGGCTCAACTTCCTCCACGCCGACGTCGCCGATGCATCGCCGACGTCGCAAATGCATGGCCGATGCATCGCCGATGTATCGGCGATGCGGCGCGATCCTCCGACCCCATCTACTCCGAACCCCATCTAGGAGGCCTCTGGTCGAGGTCCCCGCCTGCCCCCCAGGGTGCCCCTGGGGTGCCAGTTGCGAGCCACACCCTCTGCAAAAGCACACCCTTCGGAGTCGCCGAGGTGTGTCTGGGCTTGCAGCTCCTGGCGCCGGCCTTCGTCCAGCCGAGGGCGGCGAGGGCGCAGGTCGGCTGCGCGTGGTGGTGGTTCGGGCAGTGCCAGGGTCCACGCCTCCCAACTGGGTCGATACCGCTGCCTTTCTCTCGTTTCCGCTTCTTGAGGTTCCTGCGAGGCTCTCGTCGCCACCGCTGGATTCGCCTCGGAATCCTGGTCAGGACGCACTGCGAGAGAGGTTCGGGGAGCAGCGGTATCGCTGCCTTTTGGTCCGCCTCCCTCTACACCATGTGGAGGGACCTAGGCCTCCCACTGGATGGGGTTGGAGTAGATGGGGTTGGAGGGTCGCGCCGCATCGCCGATGTATCGGCGATGCGGCTTGATGTGGAGCCAGATTTCATTCACACCAACTTCGCCAATGCATCGCCGATGCATCGGCCGACGGACGCATCGGTGATATAATTGGTGATGCGGCGGGACCCTCTGACCCCTATCCACTCGGACCCCATCTGGGAGGCCTCTACAAGGGTCGACAGTGAGCCAAGGAGTGAAGTGAGAAGGAGAAGGCCCGCCTTCACAGAAGGCAGCGGGACTTCTCAAAAGCCCTCGCGCCTTCTGAGAAGTTTTGTTGCGTCTTCCAGGAAGGCTTCGAACACTTCTCTGAAGGCCGGGGGACTTCCGAGCCTTTCGAGAAGGCCCGCCCCTGCCCGCTTCCCCCCCCCCCTCGCTCGCTGCCGAAAGGGGCCACCAGTTCCTCCCTTGAGGATCGCGAGGCTCCAGGGCCGAAGCGCGAGGGGGATTCTGGACGTTCGGAATGGCTCCAATGGGGGGCTCTGCGTCGTCGTCGTCGTCGTCGTGGTCGTCGCCGTCGCCGTCGTCGTCGTCGTCGTCGTCGTCGTCGTCGTGGTCGTCGTCGTCGTCGTCGTCGTCGTGGTGGTCGTCGTCGTCGTCGTCGTCCTCTGGAATTTTTTTTTGTCGGGGCAGTTCCTGGAGGACATGGCGGTCCCTCGAAGACGTGGCGACACCCCTCGTGGTGACCCGCCTTGGCACTGCCCGGGCGGCTCTTCTGCGAAACTATTTAGGATGCAACTCCTGGGAGGTAGCTGCGTGAAGCATCGGCGTTGATATCTCGGGCGTTCCAGAAAGGGTCTTGCCTTCGATGATCGAGGGAGTTGTCATCTCTTCCGCGGCGGAAGGCGGCGGAAGGTCGGCGGAATGCGGCGGGATCAAGACGAGCCGCCTCCGACGGCGGAGGCCGGCCGAAGGGCGGCGGAAGGTGGCGGAAGTGAAAGATGCGCCCGCAAGAAATGACACCGTTTTTGGGTTCAGGGTGTCCGACATCGGCCATCTATCCATGATCAAACACTGGCCTGACCTGGCCTGCGCCCGCTTCTAGCTCGGTTTCGATGGATCCTGCTGCATCCGGCTCGATCCAGGGCTTCGTCTGGCTCGGCGGCTCCCGAGTCGGGCTTCGTAGCCTGTCCTGGCTCTCGCGGAGACCTCCCTGGAGTTGCCTCTGTGGCCCGAAAGCCGAACGACCCTTCGCCAGAGTGGCCTCCTCCTCCTCCTCCTCCTCCTCCTCCTCCGCCTCCGCTTCCGCCTCCGCCTCCTCCTCCGCCTCCGCCTTCGCCTGCTCCTCCTCCTCCTCCTCCGCCGCCGTCTCCTCATCCCCACCGGGCCATGGCATCTCAGCCCCATTTGTCCCGCCACCCTGGGTGTTCAGAGGCCCCGCGAATTCCGGGAGGAGCAGCATGTGTCCCCCCCACTCAGATGGGCCACGTCGGCCAGTGGGGCCAAGGCCATGCCAGCGGGGATGGGGGATGTGGACAGGTGAAACGATGCGCGTCTTGCCCCTTGGCCCTGAGATCCTGGCGTCTCATTGTGTTTTTCGAGCTGGGCGTTCTCGCTTGTTTTCTGGCTCCGGGGCCCCCACAGATCGATCCGGCTCGCAACATGAAGCAAACAGATGGGGTCTGGGGCTCCGGGCGTGATTTTGCATCGCTTCTTTGCGATGCTGTAACTTCTTCGCCTCGTCGGATCTCAGGGTGGGCCGGCTCTTGCGCACAGCCCGAGCGCAGGCCGAGGTGGACCCGGCCCTGGCGGGCGCCGTGGCGGCCCTGGCGGCGCTTCCCGGCGAGGCCCGGGGTCGTCCGCTCCCCCAGGGGTCGTCCTCGACTTGCCGCGTGTGAGCCCTTGCACCCTCGCGTCGCGAAGACCTACCCAGACCCCCTGGAGCCATGGACAAATCACGACGGGAGGTTTTTCGCTATTTTCAGCCTTGGGGGCCCTCACCGGGCCTCGGGACCGTCAGGAAACGGCTCAGGATGAGAAGCCGGTCCTGGGGAACGGGTCGAGACGCTCTGGGGGTCGACGTCATGAAGAACTCATTCGGGGGAGCGTAAGACCCGGGTTTGCCGGGACTCGGGTTCGCCATCGTTTTTTGACGACCGCGCCTCGGATTTTGACGAGGAGGAGTTTCGTGGGATGTCTGCAGCGGGAGGCCTCGTCAAAATGCAGGCTCGGCCTCGTCATTTTTTTGACGACCTCGTCGGGGATTTCCGAGTCTTCTGTACCCAGGTCTTACGTTCCCCTGACTGGGGAACGGGTCGAGACGCTCTGGGGGTCGACGTCATGAAGAACTCATGACGTCGGGGGCCTGGGTGCCACGACGGGGTGGTTTCGGGGCAGCTTTCTACACCTGGAGGCCCTCGTCGGACCCCGGGGCCGTCAACGAAAAAATCCACTCGGGGAGGAGGAGGAGGAGGAGGAGGAGGAGGAGGAGGAGGAGGAGGAGGAGGAGGAGGAGGAGGATCATCGTCCTCCTCCTCCTCCTCCTTCTCGTCGGACTCCGGGGCCGTCAACGAGAAGGGGTCTCGACCTCTGGGGAGCCACATCGCGACACCGTTCCGGCTTCGGATGTGCGGGAACGCCGAGCGCATGCCACTGGAGGCCTTTCCAGGGCGGCAGTAGGCAAGGCCTCCCCAGGGCTGAGCGGCATGAAGCACTCTGCAGTGCGGCGGCGGGGGGGCAGGTTGGCCGCCAGCTCCGCGAGAAGGGGCGCACAGACGCATGCTTCTGACGTCCGCGGGCAGCAGATCCCCGCGGGCGGCGCAGCCGGCGCTTGAGGGGGGGCGGAGGGGGCCAGTCGCCAGCAGAAGTCCAGCCTCTGCGGACGTGCTTCAATGCATGCTTGTGCGGTTTTCAGGCCCCCGCGGCGAAGGGTCGGGGGCCAGTGGGCCCAGGATCCAGCCAGAGAGCCAGCTGTGGAGGGCAAGCCATTTCGGAAGCGGTTCTTCCCCACCCAACAGATTGGGGTTGCTAGATTTGGTCGTGAGACTTGAAGTATCTAGGCCTACTTAAAGTATCTAGGCCTCCTAGATGGGGTCCGAGCAGATGGGGTCGGAGGATCGCGCCGTATCGTCGATGCATCGGCGGTGCGGATCGATGTGTGTAGCCCGATTTCCTCCACGCTGACGTCGCCGATTCATCCCGATGCATCGGCGATGTGTCGCCGATGCATCGGCGCTGCGGCGCGATGCTCCGACCCCATCTATCAAGGGATGAAAAACCACCCAGACCGGACAATTGGCGTTTACTAAACGGCCCTGGGCGTTTCCTAAACAGCCCTGCCCTGTTCGATTTCTTCTTTGAGCGCGTTCACTGAACGACTTCGCGTGTCGGGGTGGCTATGATGAGAGAGGTTTTTTGACCTCCAATCTGCTCCGACCCCATCCAGGAGGCCTCTGAAGTAGAAGCCCGCTCGCCGGCCCTGCGCACCACGGCCGCCCAGGTCCAGGGCCCCCCCCCGAGAGTCCCGAAGGTGTCCCCGCCCGGCAGCCCGGCATAGTGCCTCGGCCGCCAGGCTCCGTGGCGCCCGAGAGGTTCGGGGGCCCTGCCCTCCGGCCCTGCGCACCGCATCAGGGACAGACAGCAAAGCTCAGGCCTCCCAGATGGGGTCCGAGCAGATGTGGTCGCAGGGTCGCGCCGCATCGCCGATGCATCGGCTATGCGGCTCGATGTGGAGCTCGATTTTCTCCACGCTGGCGTCGCCGATGTATCGCCGATGTCGCCGGTGTATCGGCGATGCGGCGCGATCCTCCGACCCCATCTACTCCGACCCCATCTAGGAGGCCTCTAAAAGCACATACACCAGTAGCATTAAGTCGGGCCTGTCCCTCTACAGAAGGAATGTTCAAACACAGTCTTAACCATAAGATGGGGGCGATGTTGTACTTCGTATTTGGTCAAATTACGATGTTTTTGCGTATGTGAGTTGTTCGTCCAAAATCCGCCTGTAGGGGGACATGCCCGACCTAACAGTAGTAGCATGGCAGGCGACATGGCGTCACGATGCCATGACGCCCCAGGAGGTCCCAGAATTACCGCCAAGAGGTGCAAAAAGAGGCTCCAAGAGGCCTCCAGACGGGCTCCAGGAGGCCACGAACGCGCAGGCAAACTTCTGCGATGGCACAATGCGGGCCGGCGGAGTGAGCGAAGCGACTGAATAGCAACATGGCAGGCAGCAGTGTGTCACGATGTCAGGCTGTCCATGTACATCCAGAACAGGCACCAGATGCAGACACCACCAACCTGGGTTAGCAGCACACCTCAATAAGAGGCACGCGCCACACCTGCCAAGGACGACGGGCCATTCACCGACAGCGGTAGCATCCACCTGGAGCAGACACCACGAGCATACCGCCACCTTGAGCAGGTACCACGAGCATACCGCAATCTTGTCGACCAGTGACAGTACCGACATCATGCTGACTCAACGCACAACAATCCATACATCAGAAACATGCAACGTCAGACATCAACGGCAGGCAGCAGCCGTAATTACTCATCGGTTATAGTACCCACATCAATCAGATACCCGAATCACAAACATTGGTAATCTATACCAATGACAGGCGCCTGCGTCATATTTTCGTAACATACATGGACCACAACCACCAAGGGCCGACATCACACACACACACACACGCATCAGAATCACAATCTCGGACGTCGAAGCCATAGACTGTTTGCAGGCATCACGACCACAGGGCAACGCCATGCATCTATAGTTGGCAGGACGAAGACGCAGGCATGACATTAATATCATACGTATCACCCCCGCAGATGCGGATGAGAGTGAGGGGGCGGTGGGAACGTCGGCAGTTTGCGAGACTGCAGAAGCCCGCCGCAGGCGCCAACGTTTCACAAAGTATACAGCGAGCCCGCCGCAGGCGCCGATTTTTTCGTTAAACCAATGTGGGTAGGTCGCGGGTGGGTCGCGAATGGGTCGCGGGTGGGTCGCGGGTGTGTCGTTGTTGGGTCGCGGGTGGTCGCGGGTGGGTCGCGGGTGGGTCGCGGGTGGGTCGCGGGTGGGTTGCGGGGTGTGTCGCGGGTGGGTCTCGGGTTGGGTCGCGGGTGGGTTTCGGGGTGGATCGCGGGGTCGGTCGTGGGGTGGGTCGCGGGGTGGGTCGCGGGTGGGTCGTGGGTGGGACGACGACCAACAACAACAACAACAACAACAACTACAACAACAACATCAGCAACACCCACAACACTAACACCAACAACAACAACAGCAACATCAACAACAACAACGACAACAGCAACACCAACAACAACACCAACACCAACAACAACACTAACAACCACAACCACAACAACAACAACAACGACGCACCCAGGGACAATGAATGACCGTTCGGCCCCCTCACTCTGATTTCAAAGACGTGCACATATCAATCATGTACATGGAGAACATGGGCCAATAGCAGGCACTGGTGACAACCTCTATTACGTAAACGACGCCAGTCGCAGACATCCTTAACATCAATCGCACACGCCAAGGCCATAAACCAAGCACATGCGCCAAGCACATACACCAGACACATACAGCAATCGCGTAAGCCATTCATGCACACCTTTGATACACAATTTACAGGCGTTCACAACAAACCTCAGTGCCACACTCCACGACCAATTATCCAGAGCACACCAAGCCAACATGCTCGAATTCCACGCACACTCAGGACATGCATCAAGGGCATACGCCCAGAACCTACACATACCAGACACGCATGAAGGTACGGGAATAGCGCGCATTAGGCACCGACATCCCGACCATCAGTCAGGGATTAGTGCCAAGGTATCATACAACAGGTGTATACATGGACACCTGCATTAACTAGATGCACCAGTAATGTGTGCCACTGCTACGTGTCAAAACTATACATTATGACTACTGGCAGTGCACGAATACCAAGCATCTCCCCGGGCCGGGCCGGTCGGTTTCCGCACGTTCCGGTTTGGTCGGTCGGTCCGGGCCGGTCGGTCTGCGAAGCTTTCGGTATCACCAGTCCGGGCCGGTCCGGGCCCGTGAGTTCGCACGCCGATTCGATTTCTCGAGGCATCTTGGCGCTCGATGGCCCTCGTCGCCGCCACGGGTGGACGCGGCTCGGAAAACTGATCTCGGGTCCCCTCGGAGGCTCTCCGTCCCCTCGCCTTTTTTTCGGCGGCCTTTTTTTTTCGGCGGCCTTTACCTTTTTGTCGGCGGCCTTTTTTCGGCGGCCTTTTCTCGGGGGCCTTCGCCTTTTTTTCGGCGGCTTTTTTCGGCGGCATGTTTTCTGCGGTCTTCACCTTTTTTCGGCGTTTTTTTTCGGCGGCTTTTTTTTGTCGACGGCCTTCGCCTTTTTCTGGCGGCCTTTTTTTCGGCGCCTATTTTTTCTGCGGCCTTTGTTTTTTTTGGCGGCTTTTTTTCGGCTGCCTTTCGTTTCGGCGCCCTTGAGCTTTTGGCGCCCTGGCGCCCTTGGATTTTTTTCGGCGCTCTTGGGCTTTTTTCGGCGCCCTTGGGCGCCCTGGCGCCCTTGTTTTTTTTGGGCGCCCTTGGGTTTTTTTCTGCGCCCTTGGGCTTTTTTCGGCGCCCTTGGGATTTTTTCGGCGACCTTGGACCGTTGTTCGGCGCCCTGGCATCCTTCGTTTTTTTTTTTTTTGTTTTTCTTCGGCACCCTTGGGATTTTTTTCGGCGCCCTTGGGTTTTTTTTGGGCGCCTTTGGGTTTTTTTTCGGCGCCCTTGGGATTTTTTTTGCGCCTTCGGGCTTTTTCCGGCGCCCTTGGTTTTTTTTCGGCGCCCTGGCGCCCTTGGGCTTTTGTCGGCGCCTTTGGTATTTTGTTCGGCGCCCTTTGGTTTTTTCCGGCGCCCTGGCGCCCTTGGGCTTTTTTCTGCGCCCTTGGGTTTTTTTTCGGCGCCTTTGGGTTTTTTGTTCGGTGCCCTTGGCATTTTTTCGGCGCCCTTGGATTTTGTCGGCGCCCTTGAACTTTTTTCGGCGCCCTTGGGCTTTTTTCGGCGCCCTGGCGCCTTTGAACTTTTTTCGGCGCCCTGGCGCCCTTGGGCTTTTTTCGGCGCCCTTGGGCTTTGTTCGGCGCCCTTGGGTTTTTGTTCGTCGGCGCCCTTGGGATTTTTTCGGCGCCCTGATGCTCTTGGGTTTTTTTTGGCGCCGTTGCGATTTTTCCGGCGCCTTGGCGCCGTTGAGCTTTTCTCGGCGCCCTTGGTTTTTTTTTTGCGGTGCCCTTGGGCTTTTTCTGCGGCCTTTGGTTTTTTTGTCGGCGCCCTGGCGGCCTTGGGCTTTTTTTCGGCGCCCTTTGGTTTTTTTCGGCGCCCTGGCGCCCTTGGGCTTTTTTCGGCGCCCTTGGGTTTTTTGATCGGCGCCTTTGGGTTTTTTGTTCGGCGCCCTTGGGTTTTTTTCGTCGCCCTGGCGCCCTTGGGTTTTTTTTCCGGCGCCCTTGGGCTTTGTTCGGCGCCCTTGGGTTTCTTTCGGCGACCTTGGACCTTTTTTCGGCGCCCTGGCATCCTTCGTTTTTTTTTTGTTGTTTTTTTGTTTTTGTTTTTCTTCAGCACCCTTGGGATTTTTTTCGGCGCCCTTGGGTTCTTTTTTGGCGCCTTTGGTTTTTTTTCGGCGCCCTGGCGCCCTTGGCATTTTTTCGGCGCCCTTGGGTTTTTTTTCGGCGTCCTGGCGCCCTTGGGTTTTTTCGGCGCCCTTGGGTTTTTTTCGGCGCCACCCATGAGGACAACGCGCACTGACGTGCCCCCGGAGGAGCCGCCTGCGAAGCGAGCGAGGTTCGTCGGCAAGCGGTCTCCGCGCGCCGCCGACGAGGCCGTCTATGCTCAGTGCTTGGCTGCTGGAAACACTTGCGTTCCGTGGTCGTTCCTCGCCCTGTCCCAGCATCTCGCGCACTCTCAGAAGTTCCTTGATTTTGCTTTCTCTTCTGGCCCCCACAGCTACGCAGACGCGGCCGACGCGGCGCGGGAGTTCCACTCGCTGGATGTAGTGGACCACGTCGACCTGCAGTCCCTCGAGCCTGGCAGGTACATCCTCCATACTCGCGGAGATCCTGGCCACGGCGACCCGCTGGTGATCTCCTCGGACGAGCCGCCCGTGGTTCTCCTGCGGGGCGCGGACGGCGCCCCCGAGCCCTGCGTTGTGGACCTGGCCGCGCAGCGCTGCGACGTCGCCTGGGCGTTCCGCGGCCCTGCGACCGACGGGCGCGACGTTCGCTGGGACGAGCGTCTCCGCGAGATGGCCGGCGCCGATGACGAGGGCGAGGTCCAGCTCCCCGCGGTTGGGCGAGGGCGGCCCGGGCGAGAGGGAAGACGACGCGATGAAGGAGGGGGGGCGGGCGTTCTGGGAGTCGCTGAAGAGGGAGGCTCGGGAGTATCTGGACCTGTTGAAGGGCGGCGGTGTGCCGGGCACCCTCGCGTGCCAGAAGTGCGCTTTTCGGGCGTTTGCGGAGAGGAGGTATCTGCGACATCGCGCAGAGACTTACCACACGAAGGAGCGATCTTGCACGGCGTGCAACGCGGATTTGCAGCTGAAGATCGCCCGGGCGATTTTTCAATCAGCGCAGAGTGTGTTCAATCAGCCGGAGGCCTCGCCCCATAGCCTGCTCTCCACGTCGGCCGCGCTCGTCCGCGACTGGGTCGCACCGTCCGAGGAAATGCTCGCAGTGCTGAAAAAGTCCAACGAGCTACCGCTGGTCACGGTGTGGACGGAAGACGGCGCCGTGATGAAGCTGAAAAATCAGCCTGGGTCGACCATGCGGTTGAGTTCTAAGGTCTATTACGCGGCTGGCTTCCAGGACCTCCTTACGTCGATTGTGTTGCGTCGCAAATTCCACTTCGCTTCCGTCGGGCAGGACCTCCCGGCGATATGGGCGCCGAATAACCGGGCGGTGCTGCTGTTCGGCAGGCAGGGGTAGAGTCGATCTGTGAGCTCGTGGAGCACATCTTCACTTCGCCCGAGAGTGCAGTCGTGGCAATGAAAAAGAAGGTCATGGACGCGGCAGTGGCGAACGGCGAGTTCAAGTGCATCAGCCACGACGCCACCTTCAAGGCCGCCTTCGCCATCACCGGGCAGACGCCCATGTCGCAGAAGGCCGGGGGGGTGCACGCGCTGCGCGCGTTCGTCGCGCAATCTGGGCTGTGCCCAGGGCGGGGCGGGCAGCGCTCAGAGGGGGAGGAGGACTTCTCGTGGGCACTCGCCGAGCTCATGCCGGATGGCGCGATCCCGCAGGTGGAGTACTTGCTGTCGGATTCCCCGAGTGAGTATTTCCTCCGCCACTTGCCGAACTGCCGCGGAGCGGCGGAGGACCGCGTGCACTTAACGATGAGTATCGACGGGTGCACCAACGAGCGCAGGACAGCGCTATCATGGCGAGTTCTGAAGCTGCGCGAGAAGTTCCAGCATCCCGCGCCGCCAGAGTGGTGGATCTACCACGGCGAGCCCATGGGCACCCCAGAGCGGGGCAACGTTCGGCCAGGCCGGGCATTCACCGATGCCCAGTGGGAGGCGTACCTCGAGAAGCCGGTCACCGGCGTGCGCGAATGCGTCGGGCCCCCCCGGCGCATCGCGGCGATGTACCCGCGCGCGTGGACCCGCGAGGATCTGAGGGGGGTGGCTGTGTTGCGGCATCATCAGCGCGCGGGGTCCCATTTCTATTGCGCGCAGAACGCGTCCGTGTTCAGGCTTTTGTGCCCGGACGTGTTGAAGAACGCAATGCGGGGCGAGGCCATCCATCGCCAGGTCGAGGACCTGGGGCGCCGCGCCTGCCAGTGCCGCCGCGAGCGCATCCTCCTCGCGGGCAAGATTTTCGGCGTCTACAAGGCGCTCGCGCGCTCGTGCCAGCCATGCGCAGTGTCTCTCCGCGAAGGGTGGAGGATCGCGCTGGTCGCGGGCGCGCTCTCCAAGGGAGCGGCGCCAGAGTTTCAGGGCGGCGGCCCGGTGGCCATCCGTGGTCGCGACCAGCTGCGCGCGCTTGTGATTGCAGCTCCCAGTGAGGCGGTCGTCGAGCACTGCGCGAACCGCCGCGCATCCAGGAAGGAACGCACAGAGGACCAGCGCGCCAGTCAGGAGAGCCGCAATGCCGCTAGGCGGAGCACGTGAAAGCCCCCACTGTGCGTTTTCCTTGTCGTAGCGCAGGCGACCTGATGCGCGCTCGCCGCGCGTCCGTCTCCGCTGCAAGGGGGCGCGGCGCTGCGCCCGCATGTTGCGCATCCTTTCGCGCGCAGACATATCCGACAATATTTTCAGAGATCTTCTTCCCCTGTGAATTCACAGCCGTGGAACACATGAAATCTCGAATGCTTTCCCGTGCGAACGCCGGGGACTGAGCAAAAACACGTAGGAAAACCACATCTGCGTCAACCGTCCGCGGCCAACGCGAGACGGACACCAATGTGAACGAACTGCTCGATCAAATAAATCAACGCAAGCCTTTTGTTTTTTTTGCATACTCGGGCAAGTTCGCGCGGGAAAACACGCGGATTTTCATCGCGCTCGTGGGGCCAACATATACGTGGTAACGGAAGTCATGTTAAAAGTTTTGCGAATTGCCGTTGCGATCGTAATAGCATCATTGGTGCGAGTCCCAGCCCACTGCGCGGCGAGCATCAGGGGGGGTTCTTCGCTTGCGCCGGCGTCCGCCCCCAGAATACACATATACATTCAATGCATCTGTGCACAAACAATTATTTACGTATTTATACACTTACATCCAGAAGTGACTACACGTATACTCATACACATTGTTGTTGTCATGTGTCCAGATAAGATTATACGTACATATACTTATGTAACCAGATCAATGTCAGTATTTACACTACAGTTATATGTATTCAGTGTGCTCACATTATGTTTATATGTAAACGTCGAAACAATGCATGGATATAGTACGCACATCTACACAATTTGTAAACACATAAGTATGCATACAGTGTACACATATGTATACATATACATATACATACTACACATCTATACATGTATATTAATGTATTGTACAATGCATATGCGTGTATAGATACATGCATGCATACAGTGAATACACATATATATACACAGCTATGTAGACAGTGTGCTCCCATGCATCTATATGTGTCCACACTTGTATGTGTATATGAATACACGTGTACATATTTTACACATGTATTTTACATCGTTGATTCTGCATGTGCGCACTACAAAACATTCACATCTGCACATCTATTCACATAACCAGTATACACACTACAATGCACGTGTGCACATACATACTTCCGAATGTGCCAGTGCATGCCTCCCCTTTCATTTGATGTTCGCGTCTGCTCGTGCCCCACAGGTGCGGAAAAGGGAAATGGTACCGCATCCTGCACCTTACGGGGGCCCACCACCCGGTTCGAAACGCGCCGCCGAATATTCCCAAGGCAAGCGCCCGTGAAACGCTTTCTTTGGTATGTGTGTATGTCCATATTTTTCTTCCAAGTCGTATATTTACATATTCACGCATTTAGTTTTTATATATCTATCCCGTTACAGGGTCGGGGACCTCCCAGGTGCCCCTGGTCGGCATGGGTGCTCTGGGCTCGCCAGGACCTTCTCCAGCTGGCCTAGAGCCTCCCATACGTTTAGAAGTAGCGACAACAAGACACCCTGAGGCTTCCAGATGGCTGGCGTGGCTTTCGAACGGCCCCAGATAGCTTCCAGATGGTTCAAGAGAACTCGACAAACGCTCCCCGGAGGGCCCCAATAGACAAACACCATTGATTTCCCAGAAATTTCTTAATGTTTTTGGGGTTCTCGACTTTTGCAGCTTCTTGCGCTCCGCGACGTCCTAAGATGCCCCCGAGACCGCCCCAAGAGGGGCCAAGAGGCCCCCAAGATTGCCCCAAGATGGCCCAAGAGGGTCACAAGACGGCCTCAAAAGGAGCCCAAGACGGCCCAAGAGGGCCGGGGGCCTTTTTCGGGCCTTTCGCGCGCTATTTCGGTTTCAAAAGGCTTCCCGGATAGTTCCAGATGCTGCCCAAACGGTGCAGGATGGCCAGATTTGTTGGGGCCGCCATCCTGCACAGTCTTGGCGGCTTGGCCCAAGATCCTTCAAGACGGTCCAAGACGTCGTTAGGAAGGCCGCAGAGGCGCCCAAGACACCCCAAGAGGTCTCCAGGATGATCCTGAGGAGGGCTCTCGGAGGCCGCACTTGCCAATTTCTATAATTTCCCCAAAGATCGGCCCAAGAGGCCCCCAAGAGTGCCCGCAAAGGACCCAGGAGGGCTCAATACGGCTAAACTGGGTGCCGAGCTGGCATTACAGGCCCCCCGATGAATGGGCCCCAAGACGGGGCCAATAGAGGAAGAGCGAAATGCATTTCGGAGCTTTTCCTTCAAGATGCCCCCCCCCCAAAAAAATGACCCCCCCACATGCCCCCGAGAGGCTCCGATTTTGCCCCGTTGCGTTGACAATTGTTCCTGGCAATTCTTTGCGTGGCTTTGCAGTACACTTCGTTGTCACTGCATCTGCGCTGCACGGCAATATTTTTCGCAACGCGCTGCCATCGCATAGCGATGCGTTGCATTCCTTTCACGGCTCTGCACTGTTTTGCATGGCTTCGCACTGGGTTTGCATGCGTATTTCTTTGTCGAGCATCTGGTCGGTGCGCGTTCGTACTACTTCTTCAACTCATTGCCAAGTAAATTGTGGTATGTACGTACATGCGCGCAGCTGTGATCTTATCACGGGCAGATGCCTGTTAAAACCTAAGCGCGCGAAGTGCGCGTGTTGTTCTATTTTATGTTTACGCAGGTTTTTGTGTCTCGAGAAGATCGCTGGATCAGCCTCCTGCTGGTCGGAATGTGTGGAACGTGGTTGACGCCAGGGCAGACCCTGAGATCTGACGGCGCGGAAAACATGAAACATCGTAATACATTCACGACTGGAGCCCTGGCCCCCCCTTTCCTGCGACTTGTTTCGAGCCGGATCGATCTGCGAGGGTCTGGGGGCCCAGACTTCTGGGGGACCCCTGACTGGGGGCCCTAAACCTGGTGTGAAAACGCCTGGTTCAAAACAACGGAGACGCCAGGATCTCAGGGCAGAGGCACCAGCCTGCGAAGCCTTTGGTCCTCCAAAAAATGTTTGCTCGTGACCCTCGAACGTCCGGCCTCGAGCTCTACCCGCGCCCCTCGCGAGGCTCTGGCGGAGGGCGGGAAGATCCCCGGGGCGCCGCTCGCGGGCTCGCCGGTGTGCCTCTCGAAGCCGCTGGTGCTCGGACGGGGGGGAGATGCCAGAGATGGTCCAATCTTCCACCACCGCTAGCACAGGTAGGACGGGGGAGACGGGAGGATGGGGAGGTCCTCCTCCTCCTCCTCCTCCTCCTCCTCCTCCTCCTCCTCCTCCTCCTCCTCCTCCGCCTCCTCCTCCGTCTTCGCCTCCGCCTCCGCCTCCTCCTCCTCCTCCTCCTCCGCCTCCGCCTCCTCCGCCTCTTCCTCCGCCTCCTCCTCCGCCTCTTCCTCCGCCTCCTCCTCCGCCTCCTCCTCCTCCTCCTCCTCCTTCCGCTCCTACCTATAGTAGTGGTGGTGGAAACTGTGCCCATCAACGAGGAAGCCAACGTATCGAAAGCATCACGGCTGAGGTTTTTCGGTGCTTTCGGCCTCCAGAGGCCCTCGCGGCGCCCCGAGACCATCCACAAGAACTGCCTCAGGAGAAAAATCTGGTCCCAAGGAAAGGGTCGAACCTTCTTGGGACCCCGTATGACAAAAATCAAGGCGCCGGATCTCTGGGTAGTGTTCCGATGCCGCCACCAGGAACCGCTGAGATCCGGGCGCTGCAACTTTTTCGCGCCAAGCGTTTTTGCATAGTTTTGGCCCGGGGCCATGACAGATCGGGCTGGCTCAAAAAGTGCCACAGAAAGATGGGCTCTTGGGGTCTTCATGTCATGGATGCCGATACCGGTACCAATAATCCATCGGGGGACCCACCCGCTTGATGCTCGTTCAGGGGACTTTTTCTTGCACCCAATGTACCAGCTGCTCGACTTCAGTTCGACCCTACTTCGACCCGACTTCGACACTAGCTCGACTCAAGGTCGACCCACGTTCGCCTCAAAGTGCACTTAAGTCGACGGACGTTCGACGCAGCATCGACGCATGAGTGGAGCGAGTGGCTCCAGGAAGGTCTCTAGAGCGCGCTCGCCTGAGCGTCGTCTGGTACTGGGTGACGTTCGGACGTGCCATCGCTACCCTTCCCTTCCCTCCGCTACCCTTCCCTCGTCGTTACGGCTGACTTCGCTTCGAAATCTTGATCAGAACGTACACTAGGAGAGGTCCGTGGAGTAGCGGTATGGGCATAGTTTTGCCCTCCCCAGGTGTGGCTGATCTACCCGCTGTGCGACCTGGTCTTCCTCACCTCGCCCATCTTAGAGTGCCCGAAGAGTCAAGAGGCCGAAGTCAAGACAACCTTGGGTTCGGGAGACGCTCTGGTGTTCGGTCCGTTCTCTGGGTCGCGGGGCCTATTCGTGGCCGAGGCTCGTCTCGGCCAGCAGCGTCAATTCGTTCCTGGCTTGGCGCTCCTCGTGGTAGCACGATGGCTGCATGGGAGGCTCGTGTCGTGTCCGCGCGGCGGCGACCCCTCCGCCGGGCGTTCAAGGCTGAGCGCCGCCCGTGGCCCAGCATCGGCCAACGCGGAACGATCCGCCGATCGACCGGCCGCCGATCGTGCAGGGTGGAACGGTCCACGCGGCGTCGGAGGCCAGCGCCGAAGCCGTCACGGCACGGATCGGCCGTGCGACTTCCAAACCGCATCATGAGGACGAGTGGCTCTCCAAGGGCACCCTTCCATCATCGCATCTTTGGCCCCCCTTTTGGCCACTGCCGCCTGCCATCTTGGCTCGGAAGGCTTCGACGTGGGCGCCAGGGTCCTCGCATCTTGACGGCGCACCCCTGCGGTCCTGCCGCGAAGCTCTCTGCGCATGAACCGTGGGAGCCCCTCGCGGACACCCCCGCTTGGGTTAGGTCTGGCGTGTCCCTCTACAGGAGGACTGGTCAAATATAGTAAAGCATTAGGCTGGGAACGAACTCAGACTGTTTCTGAATCTTGTTGCATTTTGATTAGTTTATGCTTTCTTGCAACATGATTGACCGTTTTGATTATCCGTAAGGGCTTCGCCCCCTGCCGCCGGCCCCCTCTCTCGGAGAATGGGCCATGTAAGAGCTAAGTCATGAGGCCTTGGCGCTGCCGTGAAGCAGTATCGAAACTTCATGCGAAACCGATTCGCAATCAGCAAAACCAACTGATCACAAGAGGGGTTACCATACCTGGCGATTGGTAAGACGTGTATGGTTTACGGGCTTGGTTACCACACCTTGCGATTAAAGGGCCGAGGGAGTTCTCGCAGTTTGGGTTACCACGCCTTGCGATGGATGTGCGTGAAGGGTGGCACCGAATTTCAGAAATGTGGCAAATCCCTGTGTTTTTGGACCCTGACCCCGCGGATCTGCGTGAGGGGTGGCACCGAATTTCAGAAATGTGGCAAATCCCTGTGTTTTTGGACCCTGACCCCGCGGATCTGCGTGAGGGGTGGCACCGAATTTCAGAAATGTGGCAAATCCCGTGTGTTTTTGGACCCTGACCCCGCGGATCTGCGTGAGGGGTGGCACCGAATTTCAGAAATGTGGCAAATCCCGTGTGTTTTTGGACCCTGACCCCGCGGATCTGCGTGAGGGGTGGCACCGAATTTCAGAAATGTAACAAATCCCGTGTGTTTTTGGACCCTGACCCGCGGATCTGCGTGAGGGGTTGCTACACCCGCGGATCTGCGTGAGGGGTGGCACCGAATTTCAGAAATGTAGCAAATCCCATGTGTTTTTGGACCCTGACCCCGCGGATCTGCGTGAGGGGTGGCACCGAATTTCAGAAATGTAGCAAATCCCATGTGTTTTTGGACCCTGACCCCGCGGATCTGCGTGAGGGGTGGCACCGAATTTCAGAAATGTGGCAAATCCCGTGTGTTTTTGGACCCTGACCCCGCGGATCTGCGTGAGGGGTGTTGATTTCGAGCCCCCCCAGCAATTCAGACAACGCGCCCAGGGGGTGCTAAAAAGCCGGTTTGGGCCTCCCCCCCCCTCGCGCGGTCAATCAACTAGTTACAGTAACCAGCAATAAGTTAACTAGTTACAGTAACCAGCAAGAAGCAGAACTGTAACACTGGAAACTACAAGCTACAACTGGTACAGGAAACTGCGAACCTCGCGCCTACAGCCTGGTGGCCCCACAAGGGGGCCGGCGGATTTTGATTCTCTCAGACTGTTTTGATCAGTCTCTGCTTTCTTGCAACAGTCCGCCTGTAGGGGGGCGTCCCCGACTTAACAAAAGCGAGGCTGGCCGTGGCGGCGCGAGGGCCTCCCACGAGGCCCCCCCCGGAAGCAGCCTGCGACTTGCTGGATCGGATAGCGAGAGCTGCGGTGCCCGGGCAAGCGGCGTCCACGCCGACGGCGTGAAGACAATCATCTGGACGCCCGAAATGGGTACGGAAAGAATGGGTACGATGCCCAAGAGCAGTTCCTGTTCATTTTGACCAGGTTTCGCTGCCCGCGCCGCCGCGGCCTGTGTCCATTTGAGACAGGAGGCCGCCTGTCCAACAACGGCCGCTGCTGGTTTTGGGGCAACATTTGCTGTTGGGCATTGTATCCATTTTTTCCGTGCCCATCTCGGGCGTCCAAAAATCAGGCATGATGGCAACGACAATTGCAATGTACATGTGGCTCGCCCTCGCGCACCCCCAAGCCCAAAGTTGGAGTGTCCATATTTTGCCACCCGCTCGTTGCCTCGCATCCAACCCCGTCGACTTTGGGTTGGGGGGCACGGGGGCTATGGATAGTTGTTCGATGCAGTTCGATGTCGTGTCATCCTGTCGCGATGGGTGTGGGCACTTTTTGTCCGCCCGCCGTGCCGTCAGCGGAAGCTCTCGCAGTTCCGCGCGGAGGCCCCCCGTGGCGGCGCCGATCCAAGAAGTCCGCGCGCGGCTCCAGACGCTTCTCTCGACGCCGCGCTCCCCTCTTCCAAAACGTGCTGGAACGATCCCTTGCGGAGGCTTCGCGCCGTCTTCGGCTTCTGGGGGCCCTCCGTCCTGGCAGCTCCAGGGCCCTCCTCCTCCTCCTCCTCCTCCTCCTCCTCCTCCTCCTCCTCCTCCTCCTCCTCCTCCTCCTCCTCTCCTCCCCCTCCTCCTCCTCCTCCTCCTCCTCCTCCTCCTCCTCCTCCTCCTCCTCCTCCTCCTCCTCCCCGCCCGCCCCCCTGACCCGCGCGGCGGCGCCCTGCGCGCCGGGGGGCGGTGCCCTCTGCCGACGGCCCACGAGCTCCGGGCGGACTTTGGGCAGCTCACGTTGGTGCCGTCTTCCCCAGACGCTGGAGCATCCCGAGGCTGGAAGACACGTGGGAACCCGCAAGAAGGTCACCAGCGCGGGCCCAATCCGTCAGTTACTGCACTGTGGATGTGTAAGTTGTTCAGTGTGGTTTATGAGGTGTGATGAATTTTGGAAAATCTTGAGTTGTCAACTCCACTGCTCCCGCAATCATCCCACCCACCCGCCCGCAACTCGGTTTGCAAAACCATGCGGCGACGATTGCGATGAGTGCTTGGTGCTGCTTGGTGCATCTTTGCGGCCGCGCTAGCGCGCGCATGCTCGCGCGCGCATCGGACAGCTAGTTCGGCGCGACCGACGCGACCGCGGTGGCGCTGACCGCTGTGCTTTTCCCAGCGCGTCTCGCAGGCCGCGCTGACGCGGGCATTTCAGTGCGAATCGGTGATTTGGGCGGGCGCGGTATCATGGCGGCGTCGACAACGGTAGGCAGTTTGGGCAGCTCACGTTGGTGCCGTCTTCCCCAGATGCCCGACCCAAATCGCTGTAAACATAATGGAACTAATCAACAAACGTTGGTGCCGTGTCCCCAAGATCGCCCGAACCATTCGAAGAAGAACAACTCGCTGTAAACATAATCAACATTTGGTGCTCCGCGCGGATCTCTTGTATCCGCGCTGGCCCCCCCAGCGGCGCCTCCGGCGCCGCCCCTGGCGCGGTCCGCGCGCCATGGAGGGGGGTCCAGCGCAGATCCGAGAAATACGCGCGGAGCGCCAACAGTTTGTGTGTTGTGCCGTTATTTCCTCTTCTATGGATGCCGAGTTTCGTCGGTCGCGACCGATCGATTGGTGGCGGCGGACTTTGAGAGGCAAGTCCGTCGCGACCGGCCCAGGAACCTAAAGCACGTTCGGTAGCGAGCATTCTCGTCGGCCGCGACCGAAAAAATTGGGATCCAATGATCAGGGGGCGTCGTGTCTTTCTCACAACGTGGGTCTCGCGAGGTCTGAATCCAACCTGGGGCCAGCTGAAGTCTCCTCCCAAGCCGTTTTTTCGACGCCCGCAGGCGGCCAGAAGCCTTCTGTCGTGATGTGTATCGTAACTCGAGGGTGCTTGGCTTTCGGGCCACAGCTCGGGCCTCCGCCGGCCGTTCGGGACGATTCGGGCACCCCGGGACGAGGCGCGCGCAACTGCTGGAGCATCCCGAGGCTGGAAGACACGTGGGGACCCGCAAGAAGGTCACCAGCGCGGGCCCAATCCGTCACTTACTGCACTGTGGATGTGTAAGTTGTTCAGTGTGGTCCATGAGGCGTGATGAATTTGGGAAACCTGGAGTTGTCAACTCCACTGCTCCCGCAATCATCCCACCCACCCGCCCGCAACTCGGTTTGCAAAACCATGCGGCGACGATTGCGATGAGTGCTTGGTGCTGCTTGGTGCATCTTTGCGGTCGCGCTAGCCCGCGCATGCTCGCGCGCGCATCGGACAGCTACTTCGGCGCGACCGACGCGACCGCGGTGGCGCTGACCGCTGTGTTTTTTCCAGCGCGTCTCGCAGGCCGCACTGACGCGCGGGCATTTCAGTGCGAATCGGTGATTTGGGTGGGCGTGGTATCATGGCGGCGTCGACAACGGTAGGCACGATGATGCTAGTAACGATGTTGGTGACAATGATGACGATGACGATGGCCCTGCCAATAATGGCGCCGATGCTGATCATGCCGACGACGAGGAGTTTGGAAGGATTTCGACATGCGCGCGCGGCCGACCCGCACGACTGGTCCATATGATATTATTTGGCAGGGGTCGTGCACCTCCAGCGCTCGCGCAAGGGCGTTCGAACCATTCCGACATGCGCGCGCGAGATGCCCGGTAGGTCGAATTCGATGAGCATGTTGAAGCACCGATGTTTCTCGCACGACGGAGACTTTTTCGAACGATGGTGCTACACAACCATAGGTTTTTACATGTATTCGGGACGCTCGATTTTGAAGTGGCTACGAGCCTTCGGGGTTTCCAGGATTCCGGCATGCGCGCGCGACGACGCGCGCGTGTGCACTTCGTCACGTATTCGTGGTTGGTTAGCGAGTGTGCGTTCTTGGTATTTGTTGTAGAGGATGGCTGGGGGGTCGATACGAGGTGAGTTGGGATGGAATGAGTGAACTTATATTTCGGTGGACGATGGACCAGAAACACAAGTAAGTTTCAACGCGAACGAGGTGGGCGGATCATCCTGGGGTGGGGCGTGGTAGATCTCATTTGCCACAAGAAACAATACCAGTGGGGTGTGAGCTGTGTGGTGTAAGCTCTGTGGCGTAATCTATGTGGTGCCATTCCGGCAACGAGGCAGCAACGGGCAGCAGGCATTGCGAGTCCTCGGCGGACCCCCCCAAGCGCGGTCAGCGGCAACGAGGCGGCAATGGGCGTCAGCGTGGCGAGCCCTCGGCGGACCCCCCAACGGCAACGAGGCGGCGACGGGCGGCAACGTGGCGAAACGTCGGCGGACCCATTCAATTCCTTCGCTACGGAAGTAGGACCCCCTAAGTGCAAGCACTGTCTGGGAACTTCAATCCTCGAGCGCCAGGGTTTTGTGGTTCTGCGGTGCGTTCAGGCCAGATTTTCTGGTGAACTTTCGCCGTGGCGGCGAGAACGCCCCTGGAGGCCCGAACTGAGCAGCAAAAGCATCGGACCTCGTCCCTCCTCCGTCCTCTGGCCTCCTCGTCTTCTGGCTCTCTATGCGTCTACCTCGCCCCCGTCCTCTTCGTCTTCTTCGGCACCATCGTCACCGCCATCCAGCTCGTGCTGCCTGCCACCCAGCCAGACGAGGACTGAATGGGACAATACCTGCCCCCCCTGGATCCGCTGCGGGGCGGGGGCACGTGCTGTCGGAACAGCTGGAAGGGGCGGGGTCGGAAAAGGAGGAGGAGGAGGAGGAGGAGGAAGAGGAGGAGGAGGAGGAAGAGGAGTAGGAGGAGGAGCAGGATGAGAAGGATGAGGAGGATGAGGAGGAGGAGGAGGAGGAGGAGGAGGAGGAGGAGGAGCGGGAGGAAAGGCAGGAGGAGGAGGAGGAGGAGACGGAGGAGGAGGAGGAGAGGAGGAGGAGGAGGAGGAGGAGGAGGAGGAGGAGACGGAGGAGGAGACGAGGGAGGAGGACGATGAGGAGTAGGAGGAGGATGGTGAGGAGGACGAGGAGGAGGAGGAGGAGGAGGTGGAGCAGGCGGGATGGGGAGGGATGGGCAAGCTCAGTCAGAAGGTCAACCATCCCCCCCTGATAGATATTCCGTGCAGGATCCATATCGATCCGACCGATTTGATTCGATATCGATCCTGGCTGCCCCGATCCGATTCGATCCCGACACTCTGACGATCCGACGCGGGCGATACCGACCTGGCGTTGTCGTGCATGCTGGCGCAGCCGATCCGACTCGAATTCGACCCTGTGCCCATGCGGCCCGATCTGAGGCCTGCTTTCGATTCATCCCGTTTCCGGACTCGGTGCTTCTAGGCCTCCTGGGTGGGGTTCGAGTCGATGGGGTCGGAGGATCGCGCCGTATCGCCGATGCACTGGCGATGCGGCTCGATGTGGAACCCAATACTTGTCCCCGCCGGCGTCGTTGATGCACTGTCGACGTCGCCGATGCGGCGCGATTCTCTGACCCCATCTACTCGGACCCCATCTGGGAGGCTTCTAATGTTGACTGCTCCCGTCTAACGGAGGGTCTCAGGGAGGAACAACAGGCAAGAGCACACATAAGCGTTGATTTCCAGGATAATATGGGAACATCGTGGATCTGGGGGGAAGAGGAGAATCCAGAACATGTATGGCGAGTATTGGAAGATGTGTCGATTCACGGTCGAGCATCTGCTGCAGAAACTTCCTCCCGAAAAGTTGGGCCAGCGGTTCTTAACCAGCTTGCCGGGAGGCCGGCTGAGTTCCTCCGGCACGTTCGGCCCTCTGGCGTGGCGTCAACATCAGAAATTGGCCTAGGGCCTAGGCTTGTTTCAAGAAGCTTCTGGGTAGCTGGCCCAGATTTCTTGCATGTCGCCGCGCCGTTTGTTCCGACGCGCGGCCTTCCGTCTCGGGGAGGGCGCCTTGGCCACCAGGGCAAGCGCCGCTTCGGGCGCAGGGTTCGCCGTGGGGGTTGCCGCGGTGCCGACCTCGTCTGCTCAGGCGCGTTCAAGATACAACCGGCGCGGCGACAAACCATAATTTTCTTGATCATATGTTTGGCCGCATTTGTGCCCCCCGGGACTTCTGTTGTTCCCATCTTACTTGAGACCACATTCCAGATATCATGTCGAGCACCCAGACCAGTATCGATGCAGTGTCTGCCCGACACGCCAGCGAAGGGCCCGAGACGAGAGAGCCCCGCAATTTCGGCACTTCCCTGGTGCTCGAAATCCTTTCTCGTGATCCAGGCTGAGGTAGGTCGGAGCATCCTGATTAACCCAGGGTTCAGTCGGGCACGTCCCTCTGCAGGAGGAATGTTCAAAAGCAGGCAGACCACAGTCAGGGCAGAGTAACTATCTGTTTTGCCTGCCTCTGGACATGTCTTGCGTCTCCGTGACTCTTCGCCCAGCACCCGCCTGCAGGAGGGCACGCTCGACCCCAGGGCCCCGGGCCCGCTCCCTGCCCCGAGGACCTGCGGGCCTGAGCTGCCAGGCCGCCCGCCGCGCAGCCCGCCCCCGCCGGGACGGCGGGGGGCGCGCCCTCCTCACCGGCCCCGCGGGCCAAGCCCCGGGGGGCGCCGCGCGGCCGGGGCGCTGCCGGCGGGGGCAGCGCGGGCGGAGTGGACGGGGGCCGGAGGATCGCGCCGCCGCGCCGATGCGCCGCCGGTGCGGCAGGACGCGGAGGGCCCGATGCCCTCCACGTCGGCGCTGCCGATGCATCGCCCACGTCGGCGACGCATCGCCGGCGCCTCGCCGATGCATCGCCGAGGCATCGCCGATGCATCGGCGATGCGGCGCGATGCTCCGGCCCCATCTGCTCCGACCCCATACAGGAGGCCTCTGGCGAGGCAGGGGGGACAGGCTCAGGGGAGGATGCCTCGGCCACCTGGATGAGGGGAACCAGCAATGACACAAACGTGCGAAAAACTCGGAGGTCCGCTCAGATTTCTGGGATCGGCGCTGGGGCCCCTTGGCGGCGCGTCCAGCGCCGCCCCTGGCGCGCTCCGCGCGCCATGGAGGGGGAACCAGCGCGGATCCAAGAAATCCGCGCGGATCGCCAAAAGTTTATGTTTGTGGCGTTTTGCCTCCCTCTACTTTGTTGGGTGCGGGTTCTATAAACACTATATATAGCTATTGTGCACTATAGGATCCTATCAACATGCACTAAAAAAATAAGAAAAATAGTAACAAATAGTGAAAAATAGTGAAAAATAGTGTTAAATAGTGAAAATAGTGAGAAATAGTGTTAAATAGTGTAAAATAGTAAAACAAATAGTGAAAATGATAAAAAATAGCAAATTCTAAGAAAAATCACAAACCGGCTTGCTTCTCCCCCTTTCTCTCCTGACTTTCCGCAGCGGCAGACCGCTTTTACATTGCAAGTTGTACAGTGCAGCGGTTTGGCCGCTTCAGAACTTTCGTTTTTAATCACGTCCATGTTGGCTGCGGGGCCGAGGGCGCCGCACGTGGCGCAGCGAGCATCCCAGGCAGCCATTTAACGAATTCTCGAATTCGGTTGGGCGAATTCAAATAACTTGAAGCCGAAAACGGCTGCGACGAAATCGTTTTCCTGTCCTCCTCCTCCTCCTCCTCCTCCTCATCCTCATCCTCCTTTGTTGTTTTTGTGTTGTTTTTTGTGTTGTCCGGTGTTGTCTGGCGCCCGCCCTACGAGACAACGCAAAAACAACAACAAACAACATAAAACACATCAAAAAACAACAAAAAGCAATATGAAAACAGCACCCAGACAACATCCAGCTAACATCCAGCCTGCTGCCATCCAGGCCTGCTGCCGATGGGAAGGGGGGAGGGGGGTGGGGGAGAAGGAGGGGGGGCGGAGGGGGAGGAGGGAGGGAGGAGGGGGAGAGGAGGAGCGGCAAGAGGATAGAGGAGGAGGGGGGGGGAGGAAGAGGAAGAGGGGGAGAGGGAGGACGAGGGGGAGGAGGAGGGGGAGAAGGAGGAGGGGGAGGAGGAGGAGGGGAAAGATGATAGAGGAGGAGAGGTAGGAGGAGGAGAAGGAGGAGGGGGGAGGAGGAGGAGGGGGAGGAGGAGGGGAAAGAGGATAGAGGAGGAGGGGTAGGAGGAGGAGAAGGGGGAGGAAAGAGGAGGAGGAGGAAGAGGAATGGGAGGAGCTTCGGAGCTTCGGATTTGGGGGTGCCGAGGCCCAGGAGTGCCAGCGCCAAGGGGGCGCCGAGGCCCCAAGAGGGGCGCCGAGGAGGAAGGGGGGAGGGGGCAGAGGAGGGGGAGGAGGAGGAGGAGGAGGAGGAGGAGGAGGAGGAGGAGGAGGAGGAGGAGGAGGAGGAGGAGGAGGGGGGCGAGGGAGAGGAGGAGGACGAGGAGGAGGAGGAGGTGAACGCCTCCTCCTCCCTCCTCCTTCTCCTTCTTCTCCCTTGGAGCGCAACGTTCTGGCGTCGGTCAGACTTGTTTCAATGTCTGAATTTTGAAAAGTAAAGAAAAATATAAAAAGTGAAAAATAATGAAAAATAATGAAAAATAGGGGAAAATAATGATAAATAATGAAAATAGTGAAAATAGTAAAAATAGTGAAACATAGTGAAACATAATAAAAATTAGTGAACAAATACATAAGTTTAGGGATTCCAAGTTCAGCTGATGATAGGACACTGTAAGCTCCCATAGATCCCATAGTGAAACACAGGGGGGCTATCAGGCACTATCACTATCGGCATTCCTATGGAACCTATTGGGCCTCCTAGCCAATCCTAACTCATCCAAACCTCTCCTAAAATAGAACCACTTACCTAACCTATAACTACTTATAACTCCGCGCCCAACAAAGTAGGGAGGAGGCCTCGGCCCCCTCAGAGATCCAGCATGTCGAGACGAGGGAAACGGAGTTTTTGTTCGCCGGTGTCGGCCTCCCGAGGCCCCTCTGGGCCCCAGGAGAGCGTCAACCAGAAGCGTCTCAGCATGAAACGCCGGTCCCCGGACTTCCGGGGACCCTGTGCAGCGGGGGCATTGGTGAAGGAATGTGCCCGGGGGTCTACAGACCCTGGAGGGTTCCTTATCTGATGAGGGCGGCGGTGATATCCATGGCAAAGCCTCCAGTGGAGTTCCACCGGCCTCCAGACCCTGGATTCCCTATCTGAGGGTTCCTTATCCAATGCCCCCACCGTGTTGACGAAATCAAGGCCTCGGACCTCTGGGTCCCAGCCGCCCACGGATCGCCGGCACGGGCCCGAAGGAGCCCGCCCCGCCCAGGAGCGTGTTAGGCTTCGCTAATTATCAGGGGCGTGTCGCCGATCGATCGGTGACGTACCTCCGACTCGGGGTCGAGTCGCTTCTCCTCCTGAGGAGAGGGAGGAGGAGGAGGAACGGCGAGCGAGGAGCGAGGAGCGAGGAGCGAGGAGCGAGGAGCGAGGAGCGAGGAGCGAGGAGCGAGGAGGAGGAAATGGAGGAGGAGGAGGAGGAGGAGGAGGAGGAGGAGAAGGAGGA